CTGCTCGCACCTTGCGGACGCCGCGCTCGCCGATCATCTCCTCCAGGTCGTCGTTGCTCATGGCGATGGGGACGTCCTGCAGGCGAGGGCGGTCGTTTTCCCTCTCCTTCCTCTTCGGTCGCTGCAGCCGACCGAGTGCCCGGTCCTTGTCCACCGGCCACAGGCCCGCCCCGGCGAAGGACGCTTTGTTGATTTCTGGCGTGAAGCTCGTGCTCCACGCTGAACCGATCAAGCCGGCCATGTCCCGCTTCCGCGGCAATGCCCCTCCGTTTTTCGACGGGAAGGACGCGATGGATGTGTTGAGTTCCTTCTTGAAACAGCCGAAGCCAGCGACATCCAAGGGCTGGGTGACGTGGGAAATGTGGGAGGGCAGCTGGACGAGGTGGATGTTGAGAGACTTGGCCAATTGGATGACTTCAAAGCTCACGTGCGACGCGTGCCCATCCAGCACGAGCACGTGGGGTTTCCCGTCGAGCAAGTTCCGCCGGCGGAGCTGCTCGTGGAAGTTCTTGATGTACTTGATGAAGACGTCACCACACATGAAGGACGATTCCGTGCAGGTGTACGTTGCACCCGGCGGGCCGTTCCTGTCCGCGATCCAATCTTGGTTGAAACGCACCCCTTTGAAGATGACGGTAGGGCCCAACACGGCGCCGGCGGCGTTGATACAGTAGTGGTGACGATCGTGCAGTTTTCTCGCGAGTTGGCGCGCATCTGGGGCACCACTGGCTGCCCCTGTTCCGCGAAGACCCGCTGTGTCTGCGTACCTTGAATGGTACCACCTACAACGATAATTTGTGGCGAAAAGCACGCGTGGGGGGGCCGAAGCGGAGGACAGTAAGTACAGGCTGAGCAGCGCTCACACGCACCCACCAACGCCCAGCAAACCACAGGGAGAGGGGGGGGGGAGGGGCCCGGCGCACACGTGGATGTAACCTCACATTTGCAATGTTGCAACCTACTGCTGTAGCCTTTGAGCCTTGAGAAAAAACGTTGAAGGCTTCCCTCTGTTCATTTTAACCAGCGCAACGGGAGACGAGACTACTGGAGACTAGACTAGTCTAGTCACGGCGAAAGATACGCAGCAGCAGCAGCAGCAGCAGCAGCAGCAGCAGCAGCAGCAGCACATGTTCTCGCTTCAACTCGGCACAATTCAACTCCATGCGTGTGGTGCGCAAAGAACATGGGTATCATCCTGCGAAACTGTAGTGAAGCACCGAGTGTATATACTGCTGACATGAGCAAGGCCCCCCTGAAGCACCCAGAGCACACGAGACAAATTGCGCGTCACCCAGCAGCGCTCTCTGCACACACCGCAGCAGCGACGGGGGAACTCGATTTTTCAGCCGCAGATCTCCGCCTTTTTTTCACATTGTGCACCGCTGGTGAAAACATCAACGCAAGCCCGTAAACCATCGCACAACAGCTGCTGCTGAAAGCACACAACTCTAGACAACTCTAGACTATCTAGTCTAGATGCTCACCTGACTCGTCCGTGTTCCAAACGTGGTCGGGTGCTGGCTTGTGCTCGTTGACGAACTCCTGCCAGAACTTGTAGATGTTGTGCAGACGATCATCTTCCGGCGAGGTCATCCTGTTGGCCTCGTAGATGCGGGCGAGTCGAAGGCTGATGCGATCGTGCCTTCGGAGGAAGCCCTGCAACCACGACTTCCCCGGGCCCTTGTCGGGGTCCCATGGGATCGGCCGGCCGTCGTTGCAGAGCTGTCTCACACGCTCCTCCAGGTCGTTCCTCGTGAGAGGAATATAGTTCCGACCAGCGTAGAGCAGCACATCTTTTTCGCGCATTTTCTTCCTCTTTCGTCAGCACAGTCCCGTGGCCAACCCGTGCGTCCATGTCGCACTCACCGCTCAGGCGCCGCAGTAGCGAGGTCTTGCTCAACCCAAAGGCAGCAGCGGCAGCGTAGCGTGACATGCTGCCGTTGCGGACCGCTGCACACGCCTTCTCGGCCGCTGCGGAGTCCACTCTACTCCGACCCATGCTTAGCAGGAAGGCAGACAAAAGTGCTAGTCTACGCAGAATCATCCGTGCTGGTGCATCTGGTGCTGTAGCTCGTGGTGGAATGGTCGGATCGTCGCGGTGAGGTGCGCAAACGAAAGCTAACGCATTCGCGAGAAATTCAAAAAAAAAATTGAGGGGGACGGCAGATTTTGCACCGATATATACCTATTTGAAAAAAGTGGTCCTTATAGGGGGGGTGGTCCTTAATACCCGCCCTTACTCTAGCATACAGCAGGGAGGGAAACCGGGCGCGACAACATCAGCCGGGTACATAGTTCGCCACAAGTGCTGCCTCGGCCGCCCTACTCGCTTCTACAGCAGTGTCCGGTCGCGGNATGGGACAGGGGGCGGTCTGAGCGTTTCCGCTTGCTCCAGCCGATGCACCGTGTAAGGAACTGGCAGTGGGTCCCATTGAGCTTCGTGTAGTGCTCCGCTGTTAGGCTCCACGAGGCGCACCCATACAGGAGAGTCTCCACCACTTCAGCCTGGAGTAGCCGGATCTTGAGCTGGCGGTTGGCCCGTCGCCTGTCGTACATCGAAGCACTGTTCCGGCGGTAGCACTTCCACGCTCGGCAGCTGCGGCTCGTGATCTCCCGGTCTGTGGACGGTGACGGCTCCCTGATTTCCCGTTTTTATGTTTGCTTGCGCACCCACGCAATCATGTTACCGCAGACTTATATTATGTACAAATAGTTAATCTAGTCCATGTGTACTTCACTCGATAGAGCCTTTTGCGTCGTTTCAGGACAATCGTGTTCTCGGACTAATTAGTCTATTAGTTTAGCCTACATGTAGTCACCGGTGTGTGGGAAACCAAGTGATATTTCAAGCCTCGTTCAGCGCGGTCAACTAAATGTAGGCTACATAGTTTTCCACAAGAGGGGTGCGCTGAAAGGATACTTTGTACGGATTCTTACCCCTCTACATATGACAGACTAGACTAGACTAGATAGCGCCCGCGCTTAGGAACTCAGCACTTACGAAATTGAACCTCGAAAAAATCAGAAGCTAAGCGCTTGACCGCCATTTTGAGCCTCGTTAAGAATCCCTGTCAACACTAAATAAACCTATCAGCGGCCATTTGTGGCCCACAAGAGAAACTAAGAACCCCAGCGGCCGCATCTGTATTGTAGGTACAACTAGAATCCACGGGGTTTCCAGATGGTTCTGCTCTCGTTCACGATTGGACGACACAAGGACGAAAACGTTCCGCTCAGGGGGTTGCCTTATCGCGTGACGCGCCTTGGCAACGAGGTATTACCGAAGGGAAGAACGGAACGGTTTGGCATCGAAACAGGTGCTCTGTAACGCGTGCACTACATCGGTATGCGCGAGATAGAATCGCCTTCCCCGCCCCCCCGCCGTATCCACGGGTTGCAGTACTTGTCGAACTTTTCCCCTTGAAGCGACGTGGTGGACACCCCGTAAATGACATAGTCTATGCATACAGGCTGCCACATACACACACAAGATTATTTAGTTCACGTGTAACTCTACAACAAGCAGGTGACGTCAACGTCCATCCGTGAGCATGCCGATATCAGCACTACTGGGCCACCGCCGGACATGTCTTCCAGGAAGTACCTCACCACTAGCGCCAGCACCATCAAGACGGAGACCATCACTAACAACGCCCGGTATTTCCTCCCCCTCTATCGCCATCCCGGGCAAGGCCTGGTCTCCTTCCACAGGTAAAATGCCGACAGTTCTTTCCTCTGGAGCTGCACAATCGTGGACACTACCACTGCCGTCAAGCCTGTCTGTCAGGCTCGTCTCCTCTTTGCTGCGATTCGTCTTCGCTGCTTCGCAAAGGTAAGCGACAAACTCTTCGCCGGACAGACGTGGGCGTGGCAGGTGCGAGAAAGATTTCGCACGTCGTCGCTTGGTCGCTATGCCTTTCAACCCTATGTATTTCGCGTTGGTACCCTGTGTATTTTCGAGATACGTTTCGGGATATGGGGCGGCTGATCGTAAATGGTGCTAGAAGAGACGAGATGGATTCAATAAACAGGCGACATCGCACTTGACGGTGTCGCTTTTGGCAAAAGATTGTCCACCGATCCCGTGTAGTGTGCGGTGGGCAACTCGTGTTGAATGTGTCACCAAGCCGATGTGACCCTGCTCTCCTACGCATCGGCACAGGTATATTTGACCCCCCGTGTGACATCCTCCAAGCTGCCCTTTGGCCAACCGTGTGCATGTCTTAAGCAAAAGTTCTCACCCTCCGTTTTCGGGGAATGCGCACAACAGCACGTTTCCTGGGTCGGTTGTCGTCCCCGCGATCTTCGACCTCACCAACCGGAACCGCTGCAGCCAACGCCGACTTCTCGGCGAGAGCAGCCAGCCTCGCGCTTGTGTCGGCCGCCGAAAGTGGCTTGGTAGAAGGTCCCGGAGATGGTGTTGGCGGTCTTTCGCACCAGCCAAGCGATGAGCGAGCTATTTTCCACCTCGCTGCCTGACTAGCTGCTAGTTGGCTCCCTGACTTGAAGGCCCGGCGCGTTACGACCCTGAGCGCGACAAGAACAGAACTTTAAGAAACTGAAAACAAGCACATGCGTGGTTTGACATCCCAGGCTCACCACGCAACAAGTACTCAAACATTAAGTTTGAACAGAAATACTTCAAATGATAACCACGTATACATTGTCTCGACATGATGGTGAAGGTCAGCTAGCGCCTGAACCATGAACGTCTCAACCAGGGGGGCGACGCCAAGACGATACACAACCGTTCTCCATCCCCTTTCAACAAGAAACGGTTGCAAGAGGACAACAGCCAATTCTTACCGTGTCCGAAAGCGACCTCTTGTGGGCACACCCGCCGCCCATGAGACCGAGCCCTCCTCCAGATATTTTCCGTCGTGCCTCATTCCCAGCAGCTGGAGGGTCGGATCGCTACGTTCTAGCTCTGATTTGCCAACGGTTTCACAGATAAAACAAAGGAGATAAGACGACGTACCATGCTTACTCATTGCTGTTATCTTCATGTGCTTCAAAGACAAAGAAGCAAGCTTAACTTATACTATGTACCAACAGGAAACTCACACAAAGGTACGCGATGCATGTGATGATTTGGTATGTGCACGTCAAACGAAGACAGGTTCAAAGGTCATTTCAAAGTCAGGCATGCATGTCGCGGTCATTGGGCTGGTCGGCAGCGTTTTCGCTTTAACATCAAGCGTGCGTCTGCATTTGCCGAAGCAGAATAAGTATGGGTATAGCTCACCAAGCAGAAGAGTCGCGATTTGGCGATCCCCAAATGCCCTGAGGTCCAGTTTGTACTCCCCATCAGGCTGCGTGGGCATGAAGAGAGCAACAGGACCTAGTCGCGCTTCGCATCTCGATACCTCGCGATCCGTTAGCGCCCCTAGGCATCTGTGGTGGTTCGGCACGGTACGGGTCAAAAGAACGGGCTCGGTCAACAAGCAAGAGCGTTAATAATTTTAGTTTCGCAGGGTGTGTCACTTTCGCTATTTGGCATCCCGGGCTTGTAAACGAGCATCGAGACCTGACGACGTTGGTTTCTTTGCGTGGTACGGCCATTAAATTACTTGAAAAAGCTAAGGCTGTCATGATGGTGACCACAGAATGTACTGAGGAGATCTTTGAACGGGTTGCTATGGCTTGGCACCGAAGACAATCACAAAAACGATGGCGTTCTAGTGTTCAGAGGATGAACGAAAATCTGCTGCCCTTGTTTGCACAACGATTGGTGAGCGTTTGGGGATTAACCCGCCGTTCCTGCTGCGCATTCTTCGCGCAGCGCACTCGGGACACAGGAAAAGGCCATGGCAAGTACCATGGATTGGGCCTGCCAGCATCATTGTTTTCAAAGAGCTGACAAAGACGTATCAAGCCTACATAACCATGTGACACGATGGCGCGCGTTAATAGCTCTTACTGGCCAAGCGACCATCCTCACTATGAAGACGAGACAATTATTTTCAAGGGTTATCGGCGGGCACTCACATGTCCAGGTTGCTTTCGTCTGTTATCCTGCAGACCACGGCGACGAAGACTTCCTCACGACACGAACTCCCTGCTTCGTTTCCCGTCCCCGCTTCGTTGCCCTCTTCCTTTCCTGATTCGTGCTCGTCGTCTTCTCCCGGGAATACCCGCAGGAGGTCGACCACCTAAGCAAAACACAACGCGAAAATACGTGAACGGTACATATAAGATGTACCGTGTTGACGAACCTGTCCACGTAAGGTAAGGGGTGATCTACATCTGCATTTTGGCTTGCCAGAGTCTTTGGGTGCCTGTTTTCGCCGACTCGGCTCCTGTCTTGTTGCTTTCAACACGACACAACTGAGGCGTGCATTGATCACTGCAGCAGAGCATATGCTCGTTCCAAGTGTGACGACATAGACGTGAAATGCAGAGGGAGAGTGCCACAACCTTCTTTCTTCGCACAAGCGTTGATGCACGACGACGCTATGACGTATGTTTTTCACCTGGTTGCAACTGAAGTAGAACACATGGCACAGGTTTCGGAGGAAGTTTACGATCACCCGTCCCTTTTTCCTCTTCACGGCGCCGCTGTCATCATGCTCATTATCGTTTGTATCTGCGCCGCCGCCGCCGCCGTTACTGGCGTTGACGTCAATAGCGCTGGCACCATTAACTTTGTCGTCGTCGTTGTCGTCTTCGCCATTGCCACCGTTCGCGTTGCCACACGACATCCATTTTGACAAAAATTGTACCAGCTCGTCGAAACACTCTTTGGGGGTCGAAGTTGCGCCGGGGGATGGTCGGATATAGTGCAAGAAGTCGAACGAAATTCGTGATGCTGTTGGCATCGTGGGGAAACGCTTGACGAACCCTCCAGGAGTCCCTCAGCGTCGTTCGGGAAAATGCGCAGAGCAACAAAACAACAACAGCAACATCGTCATCGTGATCATCGGGAACAGAGGCAAATGAACCGTTGACTCTGGGGCGGGTGAGGGGCGGGTCGAGTTACACTAACATAATTGACCTGCAATATCTGCGGATAAACATGTGCGCCAACGACCGATGCCCCACGGTGAGTGTTGAGCACATGGAGATACCACACCCTAGTAAACGGATTCCGTCCGGCCCGATGTGCGTCGCAGTATGTACCATCACATGCCGATACGTCCGGTCAAAATATCTTGGTCAGCATCCTCAACCGAGCCGCACACCTGCTGGCTTGACACTCTCGAGTGGAAGTCTCTTCTCCGTTTGAGGGCTTTTCCCTTTTTCGCCTCGTGCATTCTTGTTGTCGCGGCTGCTTGGCTTAGCGTTCCCCGTCTTAGTTTTGCCCGCGGGTGCTTTGCTCGTCGTTTTCTTAGCCTTGGCCTGCTCTTTGGCTTGTTTTTCCGCCTTCTTCTTGGTTGTCTTTTCCCCGCGATTGTTCAGCTTGGTGCGCGCCCTTCTCTTGTCGGGCATCGCCATGGGGTGAGCAGAAACCCATCAGCATTTGGAGTTCAGACGGATCTCAAGGTACGGGTCAGAAAGATGTGATGTTTGTTACCAACGGCAGTTGTATTGCGCACCATCACACCCAGGGCTTCGATGCTGTGTCATTGTCGTAGCACACTCTCACGACTGTAATCGCCATAGAGATATAGATCTGGCATCGTTCCCACACTTAACAAGAGGTTGTATCCACTCAACCTGGAGACGCGGGACAGATACCTTATCGGTTCGGGGGGTCAACGACGAAAAAATCAATGCGCGTCCCACCTGCGGGAGAGAAGACCAAATTTGACCGGCCTCCCGCCGCCCAGCCTGAAGTTGCGCAGGTGGTGGCTATTGCCGTGCTGTGACGGGTCCAGAAGTCCTTTCATTCCCACGTGCGCACGGTTGACCTGGATGTAGGGGGAGTGGTGTGGAGTGGGTTCGGCATGACATTGTGCCGCCGCGGGAATCGGGGTAAGAAGTGATGGATGTTGCATAGTTGGTAGTTCACGTCTTACCGTGTTGATTGGCTACGCATCAGTACCGTGTTCTCGTTGGTGCATGCAACAACCCGTGGCCAACGCGAAGCAGGCCATTCGCACGCGCGATGACGACAATGCTGAAGGTGACACTGCCGAGGGATAACCAAGGTGCCACATACACACGCTTGTTGTTTTGCGAGCGAGCGCCCTATGCATACAGTGATAGTCTAAGTAGAGATTTTAAACTTCCACGTTCTCTGGCTTCAAGCGCCAAACATTCATACACCCATGTGCTTGGCACGACGCGTGAGTTCGAGAAGGGTTTAGAGAAGCATGTTCTGGCGAAACCTGAAAGTAAGATGTGAACGCCCATTATAATTAACGTGGCCAAAATCTCATGGAGGTCATGTGCGTTGAAAACGCGGATACATCTTCTGCTGACCTTATCTAGACCGAGAAGGGCGCGGAACACCTCCCTGTCACTTGGCAGGGTCATGTCTAAATTGTAATGGCCCTGCGGGGCGAACGGATTGAAGTATGCGGAGGAGCCCTCGACCACGCTACCAAGCCGCTCTTCTTCCAACGGTGTCAGGCAGTCCTCGAGACCAAACCTGAAGGGAGACAAGAATAAGTGTTCCGGACAACAGGTACAGCCAACGACGAGACTCAACCGTGGCGTTCGAACCGTTCGGAAGGTAAGACAAGCGCAATGACCCAAGTCGGATCTGGAGTTTGCAGTGGGGTTATCCCCAAGTTATTGACGAACAATGATGACAGCGACGACAATCGACGTTGGTCCTATCTTCTTGCGCCTGGAGGTGTTCTTCTTGCGCCGTGCTGATTCAGCATGTCCCTTTTCCGCCCTACTGCGAGCGGCAAGAGAACAAATACCGTTGTCTGTCGATGTTGACAACTCAAGCAAGACTGACAACACAAGTACAGATTGCTAAAACACAAGGACTCAACAAGACCTTCGGAGAAATTAGAAAGCAAGAGCAACAACAGTGGCACACACTTTGGGGGGGTGTCAAACCTTCGAAACGTCGACGCCGCGCACCCCGCGAGAACACCAACGATGTCATTACCCAAACCATCCAAGAAGGGGCCTCCCTTCCAGCCGTCGTCCAAGATCTTGGCCCGCCGCGCGGCTTCCTCAGCCTCTGCTTGTTCCTTTCTCTCTTCGTCCATCCTCGCCATGGCGGCATCTCTTTCCCATCGCATAAGCGGCGGTCCCCCGGTACCCTCCCTCTGCCTCGCCGCCGCGGCTGCTCTCGCTCGAGCGGCTGCACCAGCGGTGACCCTTTTCGGGGCAACTGCGGAAAAATCTGGCGGCGGGATGCCCTGGAGACGCTTGACGCGCTGGGAGAGATGCTCCCCTAGCGCCTTGAGGGTGTTGTGTCGGATGTTGGGCAGGAGGGCTAGGAACACTCGGCATCGGGGTTCCGACATTCTCGGCTACGGAGTAAGTGGGGCAGCGGGGGAAGGAGTGAAGCGGTGGACAGGGCGAGGACGAGGGGGAGCGAAAAATTTGAGGCATGGGTCTGAAAAGCACAATTCTTCCATACTCCAGGCGTGGTCTAAACGATCAACTGCAGCCTGCGCGCAGAGTACGCCTTACTCAAGACACCACCATCAGAATCTTGAAATTTACAGTAATCTGCACAGAGAGAAAATCATTGCAGCACATGGGTCCTTCGGTGCTCAGGACTTGATGGTCCTCCTTGAAAAGCAGCGGAACCATACCGTTAGCGTCAGGACAATTTCACTAGTACGAAATATTAACGTTCACAAACCTCATCCGAGAAAGCGTCCAAGATCGAATACAGCTGGTTATCGGATAACCATGTCCGTCTTGATAGGCACTCCACCATTTCACACATCTAGGATTGGTACATTGGCAAAGGAGGGGGGGGGGGGGGGGNGGGGGGGGGGGGGGGGGGGGGGGATGTACTCATAGTCGTGCAAGCGGTATTCGTTAGACCATTGACCTCGCATCGCAAGCGGTAGCATTGCGCTCATTGACGTCTCCGTGGTCGGCGATGAGGCATTCCTATGCGGTCGTCTTCCTCCCTGCACATTGTACTTGAGATTCGGTGCCAACGAACGCGCGTCCTCTCTTTGTCCTTGGCAAGATACACACATTTCTCTATAATCGAGAAAACAGCAGTTGCCTGCAAACTAGACGATCAGCGAAACCAACGGGGTACCTGCGCAAAAATGTAATGCCCTGCTGGATTTATAAGCTGGAAGTCTCCGCAAGGCAGTGCAGGCGAGCCGCAACATGGCAAGTCGGGTGGTATTCCTTTTCTCGATGTGGATACTTTCGAATTTATAAAAGGCGGTGCCTGTAAACACCCACCTGTATCGGTGACCCGAGAGACCTGAGCATGAAAATCACCGACTCAAATGCCCTATCAGCAGCCCTGCAAAGCGTTGTCGTTGTTGTCTTGGTTTTTGTTGCCTTTGTGGGCATTACTTGTGTCCTTCGCTCCTCGTTACTCAAGTCAGTGCCATCGCCAGCGTTGTTCGTACAACGCCCTCTACCTCCCTCTGTAGCCACTGGTTGGGCATCCTCTATCCCTCCCGCTGCTATCCCTCCCCCCGTGCTGTATAGTCCGTCTGAACCGTCGCCTGGTGGTAGCAACGCTTTGTTGTCGGCCGAACCACGACGTTGCTGGTCGAAGGTGTTGGTGGTCTTGACCGGTCCAGGTGCCATAACAAGGAGAGAGCGCTTGGCGGACAGGAGTGTTCCCGGCGAGTAGGCAAGCTTGATCGTTCCTTCCGTCGGCAGCTACGGAACAGGTGGTTGTTCGTTTGTGGGAATTCGGCGAGGGAGAAAGGTTTAGGGGGGGGGGGGGGGGGTACTCAGAGTCGTGCATGCCGTAGCCGTTAGACCATTGACCTCGCATCCCTACAAAGCCGGGACGGAGCACGCCGGGTTCTCACCGGACCAGGCTCTCACATCACCAAGCGCGAAGCGCCGTGAGATATTCGGCGAGTCGCATGAAGGGTGCGCTGCATCCTGCTAAGGGTTTTCGGCATCTTGTGCTTACTTCCTTGCGTACGGATGACAGCTGCGTATGAATTAATTTACTTTCTGGTGCTTTCACTTCCAGAGACAGTTGTAAGCACTGTGTAACTGCCTCGAGGGTGCTTGACCATTTTAACACAACGTGGTGCGATCATCCCCCTTGCGCGGAGTGAGGGTTCTCCACCCCGCACAACATGATCTACTCGACCACCATTGTGGTTACCGCCAAAAAAAAACAGAGGCAAAAAATACAACGGTATCCTGGTTGCCGAGTCCACGAATTGAATTGGCTTGTTCTACAACGTCGTTGCCAAGCAACGAAAACCCAACCCCGATGGCAAACACCG